CTCTCAGCAGCAGTCATTCCACAAGATAATCAAAGCAGTTTCCATTCGAAATCAAGGCTGGAAGCCTTTCTGAAATGGTTCTAGATGCTCAATTTCATTCATGAGTGGCTAGAGCTGACCATCATCTACCTGCTCCCTTGCCCAGGAAAGGGATGGTGGCTACCAGCCTATAGTTCTTCTTGTTTCATGTAAGGTTTTTTCAGAAATGGCCTAATTACTGCTTCCTTTAAGGAGTCTAGTAGCTCTCAAGGAGGAATTTACAATCTCATTGATCCAGCCAGACATATAACAAGCCCTTCAGGGCAATGGTCAAGCATGCAGGGTGTCAACTGGATTTCACCAAGCATCTTGTCTGTATCCTCAGGTTTCAATAATCAAAATGGATAACTCTCTCCAAACCACCCCAGGCACCTCTACCAACATCAGAGCATTAATTGTGGTGTCCTTATTAAGTTTACCTTCAAAGTATTGCACAAACTTGCCGCAGTGTGCCACTAAAGGGGCCACCATTCTTTCCCTGGACCAAATTGCAACAGGGCATGACTTCTCCAAAAAGCTCCTGGACAACACTGAAAAGATGCCATGGTAAATGAGAACTTCCTACCACCTCCACAGAGTAAGCTCAATAATTCTATCTTGTGTTTGGTCAGACTTGGCACATGATTTCTTCTACCCGAGTCCTGGATGTCTTCCCCCTTGCTTCATTGACCTCAGCTCACGTGCAAACCAAACAGCTGCTCAGACTCTGCTCACAGAAAGAGGATACTGTACACATCTCAGCAAATTCAGCTGCCCAAGTTGTCCCTGCATTCCACAGAATGACAAAGGTTTTGATAGGAACACCTGCAACCTTAGGAAGGTCTGTGCTCCTTGTGGGCCACCTGGCAGGGACACTGGACACCCCTTAATTGTCCAGCTCACTTGGCTTGCCAACATATCACTGGGCTGATGAACTCACACCCCACCCCTCTTTGCTCTACACAGGCCACCCCCAAATCTGGTTTTTACCAGCCACTCGACTTATGTCACTTGTTAACCCTGGCATTTCAGTAATGCATTGTAACCCGGCTTTCGATACCATCGACCATGGTATCCTTCTGGACAGGCTTGCAGGATTGGGGGTCGGAGGCACTGCTTTGCAGTGGTTCCGCTCCTATCTCGATGGCCAGTTCCAAAAGGTGGTGCTGGGGGACTATGGCTCTGCGCCATGGCAGCTATGCCATGGAGTACCGCAGGGGTCCATTTTGTCCCCGTTGCTGTTCAACATTTACATGAAACCGCTGGGAGAGGTCGTTAGGAGGTGTGGGCTGCGGAACCATCAGTACGCTGATGATACCCAGCTCTACCTCTCGTTTTCCACCAATCCAGGTGAGGCAGTGGCTGTGCTGAACAGGTGCCTGGCCGAGGTAATGGGCTGGATGAGGGCCAATAAACTGAAGCTCAATCCAGACAAGACGGAGGTCCTGTTGGTTGGTGGTTCTGGCTTTGGAGAGGGTGAACTGAACCTTGTCCTGAATGGGGTTGCACTCCCTCTTAGGGACAAGGTTCGCAGCTTGGGAGTGCTCCTCGACCTGGATCTTTCACTAGAAGCTCAGGTGACCGCAGTGGCGAGGAGCGCTTTCCTCCAGCTTCGGCTGATCCACCAGCTGCGCCCCTACCCGGAGTACGACTGCCTCGCGACAGTGACACATGCATTGGAGTGGTGGTTAGAGCACTGGACTGGAGACCCAGGAGATGCCGCTTCTAGCCCCCTCCTGGCCTTGAAGCTACCTGGGGCCCTTCGGTCCAGTCACTGTAACCTGCCTCACAGGGTTGTTGTTCAGGGGATAAAACGGAGAGTTAGAGAAGCTTGTAAGCCACTTTGAGTTGCTTGCAAGTGGGAGAAAGTTGGAGTATAGATGCAATGCATTAATGATAAAAATAAACTTATGGGACTCACTGCCACTCAGAGTGTATCCCTGTGAAGTGCCTCCTCTGTGGTAGCCCCCGAACATGGAATGATCTCCCCACTAAAGACTGCCTGGTGCTAACTGGATCATCTTCTGGGCACCTGATTAAGACTGCCCCCTTCTCCCAGGCATTTGAGATCAGTGTTAGCATTAGAAAGGCTTTTGTTAGTAAGGTTACATAAGGAAAAGCTGCTAGTCCTCATGACTGTATGTGCCAGAAGCAGGATGCTTAGGTTCACCAATTCCAGGATACATGGGGAAAGGTGTTTGGCCACTGTGGGAACAGGATGCCACCCTAGACAGATCCAGGAGACCCCTTCCCACAAAAACCCAAATCAGGCTAGCCTCCAGAGCAGAAGAGGAAAACAAAAATCAGCCCAGAATGTGGATCTTCTGCGAATGCTTAGACTTGACCACCTCCACCCCCAAGCCCAAAATCACTTCTCAGCTTGAGTGCAAGCATGGGTCAGAGGCATTTCGTTTCTCCCAGCCACGTTCTCTTGGCAAGTCCTTGACACACATAAAAGGTGCGCGTGCGCACTCGTTTCTCACAGCTCTCGTCACCGGCTGTGCTTCCTGCCACAGTTTCCTGCAAGCAGCTCCTTCTTCGAGAAGGGCTTTTGCCTCCTGGGACTGCAAAATGATCTGAAACACATGGGATCCTGGACGTGGGCCCAATCTGGCAGGCCTTTTTTATTTTTAAATAATTTTCTGCACATGGAGAATAACAAAAAGGAAAAATCTACTGTATCCCGTTTGCGTTTCTCTGCTCCTGGGGGCGCTGCGAACTTGACATAACTTTTTTCCGACTTTACCTTCGGGGCAAAAATAAGGGGTAGTGGACAGAACATCCCTTGGTGATGTTCTGGGTCTTCCAAAGAGCAAGCTGTATTCACAAAGAAACCCTTGACGTGCACATGTTCTCTTCTTCCCTGATCCAAAGAAAGGATGTAGCTGCATAAAGTATTGGTAACAATCAGTTATTTTAACTTCGCCTTGAAAGAGTTCTGAGCCGATACGTCCATTTTTCTGCCACAGCGGTTTAACCAAGTTTCATGCCCCAAGATTACAGTGTTAAAGTTTTCACAGTATTCCAGCTCTCCACAGTTTCCCTGTTAGCCGCCCTCAGCTCAGACAGCAGGAATTATTTTGATGTCATGGCTGCGTTTTGTTTCTCCTACATGGTTCATAGAGCCAATGCCAGACCGGTGGGAGATACGTACTATTTGTCAAATAGCGTTTGCCTTTCCGAAAATATCCTGCTGCAAAAGGGGTACTGTAAAAGAACAGGCCTGGGCTGGGAGTCTGCAGACTCTGTTCTGCAGACAGATCTATCTGACCCAGGATGCATCTCCGTCCAGCCACATGAAAGGGCTTCCGGAACCAGACACAGCGCTGCTCCGTCTCATCAATGTTGAACGTCTTTCTTAAGATCCCTCCCTTGTTCTCAAAACGCAGTGCCCAGGGTGGGTTGTGGACCTTAACGCACACACAAAGAACAGCACGAGCAAGGAAAAAGACTGATGCAGATCAAGCGCTCAAACAGACACTGCAACCTGAGATCTCAGGGTTGTTGTTATGCAGATAACCTGCAGAAGAGGAGAATATTGGTTTCCTGACAAGAAGTAAAGCGGGTGATAAATGTATTATTATTAAGACTGTCGTGTCCAATGTATGGATTGGAAGATATAAAAAGTCATCTCCAGTTCATTTCACTAGTTTTACATATTCTTATTCCACTCCTCCCAGAACATTTCATATATGTTCTGTAAAAGAAGATTAGACAGACTGGTCTAAAAAGACATGGCATCGTTGCATTTTTGCCCATATTAATGGACCTAAGTTTCACACGCGATGTGGTTTGCAGGGACAGGGAACAGGGAAGCTTTGACCACAGGAAAAGCACAGCGAAGTTGGGGTGGAGAGGGTGTCTAAACGGGGCTGCTCATTGCTCATGCAAGTGCTGAGTTTCTTTCTGCACCAGCTGGGCTTCAACGATGCAAAACCATCTTTAGAGCTGGGGCAGGAGGCATTCAATGGGGTGGGAAGGGAAAAAGCAAGGATTCATCTTCTTCCTCCTACTCTGCATTGCATGCCCGTAACCCTCCAGGTTCATGCCCTTATTCTATTTTCTGGAAGAAAATGTATTTTAAAAAACCAGTTTGTTTTGGCAAAATTCACATACAAGTTAATTTAAAAGAAATGGCATACAAGGAAAGAGAAATGGGGAGGGAAGAGGAAATGAATGACATCTTTCAGAAGGACGGGTGGAATGGCCCCATTCCACCTCTCATCTGCCTCAGCACAGTCAGCAGGACTGTCATGCCAGTGGAGGGAGTTTGAATTTAGCATGGTATGAAGAAAAGGAGTTGGTGGAGATTGAAATGGCAAAATGCCTCAGTACATTTATTTTGGGAGACATGCAACATGGCTAATAATGTCATAAATCCTGTGTAATTATGTATTTCTTTAGACCATTTTTATGCCACTCCTTCACCTCCCTGCCACAAAAGCTTCTGGGTGGCTTAATATTGACCAGTAAAAGGCAATACATGAACAATCTGAGAGAGAGAGAGAGAGAGAACATGCAAGATAAAGGGGGCATTTATTTATTTATTTATTTAGACCTTTATTTAGACCATCCCTTACCGTGCTCTCAAGATGGTTTATCAATAAGACAACATAGAATAAAACACAGCACCCTTCTTAACCAATCAACAATAAAACACAGGAGCCAAACTTTAAAACGTTAGGAAAATAAAAAGGTTTTAGCCTGGTGTTGAAAAGAATAAAGGGATGATGTCAGGCGGACCTCTCTGAGGAGCGAATTCCACAATTGGGGCGCCACCGCAGAGAAGGCCCTTCTCCGGGTAGTCCCCCTCCTAATCTCCTTCATGAGAAGGGGCTCTGCCTCAGATAGGAAGGGAGAGGGGGAATTCAGCAGTTTTCAGCAGGGCTGGTGGAATGTCCCCTTTCCTATGCTGGCAGGGGCATTCCACCTAAAGCAAGGCCCCGACTTCCCCTGGCTCCTTTTTCTTTCCTCGTAGGCAGTTTCTGCCAAGTACATAAGGAGCAATCCTATGCTAGACCGGACAGGAAAAAAGACCCACAACTCCCAGCATCTCTCAGCGAACGTCCCTCTTCTTCCCGAAGTTTCTAAAGGTTCCTTATGAGCACCGTTGTGTGAGAGCAAGATCCTGCGAGATGCCCAACGCTGCTGCCCACCTGCCCTTCTACTACGGAAGCATTTCCCGCGCAGATGCAGAGGAGTACCTCAAACTGGCCGGGATGGCCGATGGGCTGTTTCTGCTCCGCCAGTGCTTCCGGAACCTGGGCGGGTATGTTCTCTCAGTGGTGCACAAGCTGCAATTTTACCACTATCCCATCGAGCGCCAGATGAACGGCACCTACGCCATCGCCGGCGGGAAGGCGCACTGCGGCCCCGAGGAGCTCTGTGAATTTTATTCCAAGGATGCTGACGGACTTTGCTGCCTGCTCCGCAAGCCGTGCAACCGCCCCAGCAGCGTGGAGCCCCAGCTGGGAATCTTCGACAACATCCGGGAGAACATGGTGCGCGAATACATCCGGCAGACATGGAACCTGGAGGTATGGCCAAAATTCTGCTCTTCTGCCCCGTTTTCATGCATTCGGTTTTTCAGAGAGGCAACTTGGTACAGTGGTTAGCAGGGGGGGACTGGGACTCAGAAGCTCTGGCTGCTAGGCCCTGCTCAGCCACTGGGGGGCAGTCACAGACTCAGTACAGCCTACCTCACAGGGTTGTTGTTGTGGGGATAAGACAGAGAGCAAGCGAATTATGTGAGTTGAGTTACTTGAAAGGAAAAAAAGTGTGATACAAATATAATTTTAAAATAAGCAAATATAAATCCACACACACACCTCTATACATACCTAGAGCCTTTTGGGGCAGAAAGGTGGTGTTCGTTATCCCATTTGGTACTAATCTGCAGTTGCAGAGGGAGGAGCAAAAACTCAGGTGTGTTTGAACTGCAATTCCCATCAGCCTCAGTTGCAGGCCAGAGCTCCAGACCTTCATTCCTGGACCAGAGGATTTCTGAGGTCTTCAACTGAGAAAGATATTTCAGATTCCCTCCTAACTGAGACTTTCACAGAGGCAGAGGTTGGGTTCACACGACACAATAAGCAACTATGCTTGGTTTCCACCATGCATAGTTTTTGTCTGGCTGCGCCTTAGAGGTCACCCTGCAGTTTCTACACTAGTGTGGTTTCCTCTCTCCCTGCTCCATCCATCTGTTCAAAGTACACATTTCTCAAATGAGAGCACACATTCAGGAATGTTAAAGCATTTGAATTCACATCCCGGATTCTGGACACGGTATTTCTGAGCACTTTGTAAACCAAAAGGAAATTTCCGTGCATCCTTGGCCCATGTCATTTTCGGTAACTTTTTCTGGACTTGAACCCATTTGAACTTATCTTTGCTTTTCTGAACATTGCACTTCAGTTCTCAGCTTAAAAATAGCTATACTTTGCTACATATCTCAGGGAAAGTCAGATAGAAAAATATGTATTTAGGTAAGGCTGCATACAGGAATGGGTACAACCAGAGAATGTTGCATACGAAAGGTGGATGTTATGCCTTGCCTTAAAAGGAAACACTGCTGTTGAAATTATTCCTGGAAACATAGCCTAGCTTCTTTCTAGGGAGAAAACCTGGAACTTGCCTTCATAAACCAAGCTCCCCAGGTGGAGAAACTGCTTGCCACCACAGCCCACGAGAAGCAAATTTGGTACCATGGCTCCATCACCCGGGAGCAAGCCGAAAGCCGGCTCTATTCTGGAGCACAGCCTGACGGGAAATTCTTGTAAGTGTCAACCGTTCGGAGTGCAATGAAAATTTCTCCTCCAGTTCATGCACCACCAAGCAGAGAACCTGTTTTGACTGGTACCGATGTTTAGCCCGGGTCTCCACCTCAGGGGGAAAATAGGAGACCCCTCATATTCTTCCCCCTAGAGCTACAAGTGCCCACTGGGGTCTGCGACCAGCAGCCGCATGTGAATTCCCTGGTAGCACCTCCAGTTTGGCATCCCTTGAGCCCTTGTGCAGAATTAAAACAGCATTTCTGGCATGCTGCCGGAGGCTTTGTGGGAAATTCAAGTGAGCCTCGGACAAGGGCTTGTGGGAAAATGACACAGTAAATCCCAGCCAGCCAGAGTACTACAGTTATCCTTCTCTGCTCTTGGCATCAGCGGCGGAGACAATATCCAGGGCTAAGGAAGGGGCCACCACGAAAAACCCCCTGTCAGGAGTGGGCCTGCCACGTGAGGCATTCTGCATAGCCCACGGGGCAACCACCCAGGATTCTGACCCCCTTGCCATTCATTCACCCACAGGATGCGGCAGAAGAGAGAGAAAGGCATGTATGCGCTGTCCCTTATCTACGGGAAGACGGTGTATCACTACCGGATAAAGCAGGACAAAGCAGGGAAATACTCTGTGGAAGACGGGACCAAGTTTGATACACTCTGGCAGGCGAGTTTGTTGTTTGTGCATGGATCACGTGCACGGATTATTCTGTCTGTGTGTGCGTGTCTCCATGTGCTTGCACATGTATGCCTCTGTGTGTGCGTGTTAGCATGCACATGCGTCTTTTTGCATGCATGCACGGACCTGCTTTCCCCCATTTTAACATGTGTATCTTTAAATGAAACCTCCTCATTCCAGAGCAGCATATCTTAGCACCAACTATTTATTTATTTATTGTTTATGTATTACATTTGTTTAAAGGCCTCCCATTAGCATTGCACTCTCTGTGGATATGCAATGGGCTAATCCTAGGTGTAGTGGTTAAGAGCATGCGACTGGGACTCAGTTGATCTGGGTTCTAGTCCCCGCTCAGCCATGGAGACGACTGGGTGGCTTTGGGCCAGGCACAGACTCTCAGCCCAGCCTACTTCACAGGGTTGTTGTTGTGGGGATGAGATGGAGGAGGAGATGTAAGCTGCCTTGAGCCCTTTGTAGGAAAAGGCAGGATATAAATTGAAATAATAATAAATAAATAAATAAATAGCTTCCACTTCACTAATGCGTCCAACTATTTTCTACGTCCAGGGGGTGTGAGTGTCATTGTTTATGTAGATGAACCAGAGCCATCCCATGAACTAGGAATCAACAGGTCTGGGAGAGATCCCAAAGCTGGCAGAAGTACTAAAAACAACTTTCATGCAACTCCTCCAGCCCCTAAAGAGCTGAAATTCATAAAAATTCTGGCTGCAATTTTGACCAACTGAACCCAGAATTTGCATGCATCTCAGTTGCAAATTCGCACTGATTTCAGCCAGAATGTACATTGTGGCTGCTTGTTTACATACATTTCATTGGCTTTAAAGAAAATATACAAATTGTGAATCACTTAAAATGCAAAGCATAAACACATACACCAATTCGGCTCATTTTTGGCTCTTGGATCAGAGAATTACTGAAAATCTCCTGGACACAAACAGGCCAAGTTTCTCAGTGTTGACCATCCTTAGATAAAGCCCATCTGCGGGGTTGGATCACCCCAATTTCTCCAGGAAAATCTTGTGACCTGAGTGGGCAAAGCAGAGGTCAAATGTTGACCTAGCTAGCCAAAGGCACTGCTTGGACAACTATGCTTTAGGATTGTAATTCTAAATACGCCTGGTGCGGAGTTTTTATTCTTTTCGGCACCAGGTCAAAACCTTTTGATTTAAGCAGTATTCTTAAAATTAATAATTTGAATGGTTCTGCAATCGCTTTTGCGTTGTTTTGTCTTGACTTAATCTGATTTATTTAATGTTTACTTATTGTTTTACACTGTGCTAATGTTTAATTGTTATTGGATGTTATTAGATGCTTTTTAAATTGTTCTTTTAAATTATTGTAAGCCATCCTGAGATATTTATATAAAGGACGCCATACAATTTTTTTAATAATAATAATAATAATTATTATTATTATTATTCACTGGCATTCTTTCTCAAACTCTTTTCCCAGATGGTAGAGTACCTCAAACTCAAACGGGATGGCCTGATCCATTATCTGAAAGAAAGTGCTCCCAATCCAGACATGGCAACGGGTGAGTAATTCCCTATTGCTCTTTCTCCTGCAAAAAACACTCTGAAAACCAACAACCTCTCCCCGAACTCCTTCCAGCATTTCATACTTGTTAGTCACTCCGGCCAAGTCCTGTCTTAAAGGGGCGGGGGGTGAATAGGTTCAGTGTAGCTACAACAAAGCCTATCCCAAAACCCCCAGCCCATGGGCCAACCTGTGTTCCTGATTTTACTCTCCAGGTCTTCCCAGAAGGCCACACTGACTTTTCCTGGCCCCAACCACTTCCCCATGACCCCCAGTCTCATCAAACCTAGTTCCCAACAGGGAGAGCGGGGAGCTAAACCAAAATGCCCCGGGGGTTTTGCCTCCCAATTCTGACGGCATGCCATCCCACCCCCAATTTCCACATGTAACCTAACCAACCAGAACCCTTGACTCTTCGCTCTTTCCTGAATTTCCAGCTGCCATGGCACCGGCCCTACCAGCACACCCATCCGGGGTGGTAAGTACAGAAAGATGGTTGCGGGGGGAGGGGGTTGCCTCTTTCCACACACCTCCTGGAATTGTACCAATATGGTCCCACCTTAAAAGGTTGGCGTCAGCATTTGGGGCTACGTTAGCCCAGGCAGGTGTTGGTGGAACTCATGCCTGGAAAGCTGAAAACCACTGTATTGGCATTTTTTTATTATTATTATTATTATTATTATTATTATTATTATTATAACATTTCAATGCATTTTATGATTTTCTGAACTGGAGAAGGGCTTTGGCCATTGGCTAGTATAGAAACAACGCAATACGCATGTCCACCATTGCACGGGGACTGAGTTAAAATCCCTTCTCAGCCATGAACCTCACTGAATGGCTTTGGGCAACGCATTTTCCATCTTTCCCACTTTGCAGGGTTGTTGTTCAGGTGACATGATTATATTCTCCTCTGAGCATTTCTTTTCACCCTCATCTAGGCCAATAAGAGACTCACACCTCAAAACTCTGAAAGATACGCTCCTGAACCCATAGGTAAGTAAAATTTCTTTGCAAAAAAGAAAATCTCGTACAAATAGAGATTTGTTTACAAGAAAGAATGAAAGATTGCGGTTCGTTTGACTTTGCATTCTTCAGCCTGGATTATTTAAAATGTATTTATTTTTAAAATTGCTGAGATTATATTCTCAAGACAAAACAATGCCAGGTGACTTCCAACAGAAATGAAACGTATAAGATTTCAACCGGCTACAACAATTACCCATTAAGATACAAACACATCACAAAACAGTTCAAACGTCAGTGACACCTGTTAGCAATTATACAGATACCATCAAATTTCTGGGAATAAAGGAGTCTTGTCCTGTGCCAAAATTATGACAACATTGGTGTTGGTTTGGCTGAATTGGTCAAAGGATTCCTTGCTGGAAGGGGTTACTGCGAAAAGGCTTTTAGCTAGAATTGTTTTGCAATCCTCCAAAGCATTGCACGACTGTGTTTCTGCATCGCGCACCATGTTTTCATCCGAGCAAGAAAAAAATCTGAACTTGGAAGATTTAGATGTACGTGAGGAACTGATGTTAATTTTACACTTCCGGGATCAGCGGCATAGCAAAGAAGTGCTGCAAAGACAAGAAGGGAAGGAGGCGCGAGACAGTGCAGAAGAGGGATGGTGGCAGGATGCGTGTTACTACATCCCCACCTTGTGGCGGGCCAAGAGGCAGCAGCCACGGCATTTTTAAAAGGATGCCTTGCAAACTTCCGAGAGCATTTTGTCAATGAAGGGTACAAGCAAAACCTGCAGCAAAATGTTGCAGTTTGGAACATTCCTATTTGGCCCTGTCCTCTTTCTTCATCAGTCTGGTTTCTGGTCAACTTTTCACCTCCAGCTAATTTGGTTGGCATTTGGGGCTCAACAAATAGGGCCACTGGGCTGGTAGGGTTTTTTAACCCATTTAAATTTATTTTCCCCTTAAAGATTAATATGAGATTTAAAAGATTAAGATATTAAAAGATAAGATTTTCCCCTCCTCTTAAATTCTCTTAAGGCTTTTTCCCCCCCTCTTAACGATTTTTTTATACCTGTGTCATCTTTTGAGTTCTCTCACTAATGCATGACTATATTAGGAACAGGACTCAGCCTAGTGGTTAGAGAGTATGGCATAGTGGTTAGTCAGCTGGACTGGGACTGAGGGAACCTGCATTCTGCTCAGCTATGTTGCTCACTGGATGACTTTGCTACTGTGATGAGGACTAGAAGCTTGTGAACAATTCAGAACGTAACTCAGAAGTTACTGATCCAAACGAATTAAAAAGCTGAGTATTACCAGCTGGTGAGTCTCAACCAGTTAGTGGATTAATTGTGAAATTTGATACCTTCATTAGTTGTATGCCATGACCCAACACAATAAAGTTTGGCCTTCCTCTGATGTTTAATCTCCACATTTGGAGGCCAGTGGTAAACTGCCCCTGTCCATGGAGGTTTGTGTAGGGAATCCATCTTATTCACTGGTGTGCTGCAAGTTGATAGTTCACAAATTTCCATTCTAAGAGCAATTCTTATTTGTAAATTTTTCAATAGCTACCAAAATTAATGCAAAGAAGCACCTGAAAATCGTGTAGCTATAACCCATTTTGTGCGAAATCGAGTGCTTTCTGCACATTGGAATTTCTGCCAATTGCAATCTTCAGTGAACAGACTGAGTTTGCGCAAAGTTCACTTGATCCATTGGGAGTTTAGGGTGCTTATTTACAAAGCTTTCTCTCCCCCTCTCCCTTTTGCACTTATTTTGCACACTTTTCTAAGGCATTTCATCCTGTCTTAGAATTAAAGGCTATGATAGGATCGTGAACTCAGACCATTTCTGGTCACTGGACTGGAAGCAGGTGGGGAATCCACCAAGCACGAATGAGCTGGATTTCTCCATTTCTGTACATCCTGAAATGTGAAAATTCCCAAAAGTGGAAAATTAGGAAAATTCATTAAGAACAGATGTTAAAACTGAAAAAATACAGCAGTAAAAAAAACCTAGTTTAATGACTATCAGTTAGCCACTCCGTTGATGCCACCTTCGATCTAATCTTCATAGCAGCCAAAGCAGACAGATACTCTGTGGCAGTGGTGGCGCATCTATCGCACACACGCCACAGTGGCACGCAGAGCCCTTCCTGTCGGCACGCGAGCCCAGTCGCCCCATCAGCCGAGCACCGGATAGCAGCGCACAGAGGGCCATGTGCATGCTTGGAAAGGAGTGGCGGCGCCAGGCGATGACGTCATGAGCCACGACTCATTAGCCGCAATTCGCCTGAGCTTTCACATGGCTAGTCAGTGCGCTGCCATGGATTGTTATATATTTTCTTGGACAAGCTGAGAATTGTTTTTTCTAAACTAAAACCTCAGTTTTCAGGTTTGATTGCAGTGTTGGCACTTTGCGATAAATAAGTGGGTTTTGGGTTGCAGTTTGGGCACTCGGTCTCTAAAGCATTGTTGTCTAATGACATAAAAATAATCTTGGATTCCAAGGATGCATCAGTGGCAGATAAAAATTCCAGCTAAAAAATTATCTCTTGGAGCTCTATAAAGAGGACAGGATATCATGTACTGAAGAAGATTCTTACTACAGGAGAACCACTAACACAGAGATAATATTCCATCGGAAAGTCAGAATAACGACCTGCCGAAGGAACTGTTGCGCAGTTTGAAAGCACAACGCCATGAAGGACCGTCTGAGCTTCTAATTGGAGATATTGGCTAAATAGTCATAGCTAGAGTGATCAAATTTGACTCATGTGTACCAAGAAGCTGCTTTAGATTTTAAAATTAAAAATCAATTGAACAATGCAGCTGAATTGTAGATCTGTTCCCTAAGCTGAGCATTATCAGCTGAGACTCTGGAACGGTGAATCTTTGGATGATGGCGTTGGGAAAGTCGGAATGCACACAGTAAGTCTGTCTTTCTCTCTCGGGGCCGGAGCAGGGGCCAGGATCTTACCCATGGACACGTCATGCTACGAGAGTCCTTACAGTGATCCGGAAGAGCTGAAGGAGCGGAAGCTGTTTCTGAAGAGGAGCAACCTCATGGTTGACGAGGTGGAGCTGGGCTCAGGCAACTTTGGCTGTGTCAGGAAAGGAGTTTACAAAATGAAGAAGTAAGTGCCCCACAAGGGTGGCTGAACGGTGGATTTGTGCAAGACAAAAGGTGCCCTGTGTGAGCATCTCTCGGGCTCTTCCATTAACATCTTTCCCCATGTCATTCCTCCATTATCATCCTGCCTGAACTGGCATTCAGCCACCGGCACCTGGGGAGGCCCAAGTAAGGAATAGCACATTAAGGGATAACCAGGTTGCTGATGGGGACTGGGCGTTACTCTCATAAAACCCCAGTCCTCTACCAGCTTCACTGGCTTCCCATTGAAGTCCGGGCTCAATTCAAGGTGCTGGTTATCACCTATAAAGCCCTTAACGGCTTGGGACCTGGATACATGAAGGAACGCCTTCTTCCATATTTGCCCTCCCACCCCCTGAGATCGGCAGCAGAGGCCCTCCTCCGGGAACCCTCCGTGAAGGATAATAGGAGGGTGAGTACCCGGAGGAGAATTTCTCTGCGGTCGTGCCCCACGTATGGAATGCGCTCCCCAGAGAGGTCCGCCTGGTGCCATCGTTATTTGTTTTTCAGCGCCAGGCTGAGATCTTTTTATTTCAACAATATTTTAATAACTTTTAATATCAGTTTATAGGTTTTAGTATGCAGCCAGGATGAATCTGGATTTTATTTGTATTGTGTTTATTTATTTCATGTAAGCTGTCCCGAGGCTATGTGATGGGACGGCATACAAAAATTCTAAATAAATAAACAAACAAACACATTTTGTTAAACCTCTTCCACCCGGGTCTTGTGGTTTATCCACATTCATTAATTCAAATTTGTGCCGTCGCAAAGTTTCAGCGAAGCAAATTTGCACTGGAGTGAATTCGTGCAGATTCCCCCTGTCAGAAGGGAAAAATGGTCCATGGATCCAGGGAACTCTCAAGATTCAGCAAGAGTCAATCTGCTGCAGAATCCATATTTTGGATTCTTAGACTTTTTTTTTATTATTATTATTATTATAACATTTCTATGCCGCCCC